GAAAATAAAAAAAGCAAGGATGATTTTAATCTAGATTAATATAACTACGTTTATAATAAGCTGTTTTATATTTAGTCAACATTTGACAGTACATTGCTAAACTTCAATTGTTTGTCTGCTAACATTCTTATTTGTGTAAGAAATTAACTCGGTGCTGGAGAGTAAGGCTTTGGGCTCAGAATCCGTTAAGGAGCACAGCTTGAGTGATGTGACGTGTGTTTGACTGAAATGTGACTCTGATACAAATGTTATCAGCTCCTGAAATAGAACTGTGAAATTAGAATTCAGAGCAAGGAAAGAGGATGTCAAAGAACACAAGACTGTAGCATATCCCTTCTAGGACATTGATTGCTGTGTGTCATGGTCTGATCAAATTGCAGCTGTGTTATGGGAATGTGAATTGAGGAACTTCTTTCTTTATTGCTGTGCTATGTTTTATTTGAATTTAGTGTTTTAAAGGAAGGGTAAACCTAGGCACTGCAAACTGTTGCCCAGGAAAAATATAGGGAAGTACCCTGTATCCTAGCAATGATATAAGAAACAACAATAGGTTATGCAGCAATGGTGGTTTTTGTAGGGAAGCCGATTCTACTCTAAAGATATATCCCAATATGGGTGGAATCCAGAGCATCCGGAGGGCAAACACGTGAACACAGGCAGAAATGACCTACTGTACCTACTATATAATTTAAACATAATATAAGCAATTTCTTGCAATTTCTACACATGCATATCTGTTATAAACGTTGTGTGCTTCTGCGCCTCCTCTACAGATTGGCCCAAGGACTGTGGGCTTTCCCACTTTAAGCCCAACACTGCACAGAGGATTGTATCGGGCAATGAAGCACGACCTCACTCTTGGCCATGGCAGGTCTCACTGCAGGTAAATACCTTGGACACCAGCTGCACAGCACTGTAGCCTGTCCTGCATCTGGAGTTCCATCAGTTCTGGAATTTCACCATTCACCCCCCTCGTAAGAGACTTCTTAAGTCACTTCCTTAAGTTACTTTATACCATTTCCTCTGATAAACAAACAATTAAATGGCACTGTGAACTGTAACTTGCATTGCATACAGTGGGAAGTTTATTTAGGAAAGTACATTGCCAGGTATTTGGTTATTTTTTATTTAGGAATAGATATTTTTTCTTATTTAGACCTATATTTAGATAGAATAAGAAAAAGGCATTACTTATTTTCTTTTCTTAGAATGGCACTTTATGACAATAACCAGCATAGCCCTTTCTCACATTATTTCTGACTCCCAGATGCAGCACCAACACTCAAGTCTGTTCTGAGTCAGGCTTTCCCTTTCCTAGGGATAATGTCAAGCACAGTGTCCATCCTTTTATTTTAAGGATGTCCTGGTCCTACCTACTTTGCTCCTCTGCTTCTTCAGTGATGAATCACTGAACAACTGTGCTAAATCTTACTGACTCATCCTTGAGTCACCCTGAGCTCTTTCAAATTCTGTGGCTAAACTATTCAAGAGCCTTATACAGGTAAGTGCAGTAGTACTTTCACCTTTTTTATAACAGATAGGTTGAACGCAATTTCCTTGTAGAAACAAAATAGCTCCCAAAGTAAGAAAACTTTTAAAAAGCCTCTTCCAACCAACGTAAGAGGAATTGTTTTCTTATTGGAATGGAACAGATGCTATCATAGAGTGGGAGATAAATTCATATTACTCCTTATGATGACTTTTATTTACCGTAGCTTTATTGTGGTTCACTTGATTTAAACATGCTTTCACTGTGCTTTACTACAGTGGACTGGGGAAATTCCATTATGAACTACAGTATAACTTGTATACCTATACCAGTCAGATTAGAGTGACAAGGGACATGCAGCAATTCCTTTACAGTATATACTATACAGTTTATACTAAATATGGAATTCCCAATTTGCAAGTAAAGCATAGTGAATTAAGATTGAAATTACAGTAAACTTTACCAAGATGGAAATTCCTAAATGGAATTGTGGGCACTAAGTGTTGTGTGATTAACAAAAATCACACGACTGGATTGGTAACAGTGGGTTAAAGTCCAGCACTTACAGGCTAGAAGCTTGTTCATTTGCCTTATGAATGTCAATTTCCCCCTGATGTTAAGTAACATAGTTGAATCTAATTTTTCAGTTCTATTAACATGTTTCTCTTTCTTTGAAAACAGAGCACACATCTGAATGCCTAGTTTTCACATATGATATAACAGATTGCAAGGAAAGTCCTGAGGCAGAATTAGACTTTGTAATTCAATGCAGCCATGTATCATTTTTTTATTATTTACTTATTCACCTGTTTATTTTTTAATAGAAGAGAATTATCTCGCCTACGTACTGTGTGGATCGGATTTTGAACAATGCCTAGCAGATCAACACAGAAATCCATTGAAAAGGTGTTGAATCATGAATGTGATGTCAAGTGTGTTCATGCTGGGATTTTTGTATTCAGTCATTCAGTATTCCTGTGAAAATGACTTAATCATCAACACCCACAACTCTCTCTTTCAGTAAAATATGTACTCAGGAGGCACTAAGTGACACTGATTTGCATTCCTGTAAAACTATGAAAATTCTACTTCAGAATAAGACTAAATACTAGAGCACAGTAGATTTACAGTGTTTCTTCAGTGATTGAGAAACCAAAGAAAGGAACAACATCATAGAGGTATCTTTTCACAGATTAAGAGTCTTAAACTTTAAGAGAAATGAACAATTAGGGTTTAGAAACTGTAATTTAATTGCTTGGAATCCCAGCAGGAAGCAAAATACTGTATATGCCCCAGTAATCTGTGCAATGGAGGCTTGCCTTCAGTACAGGAAGTCTGTTCTTCCCTACACTGTTGTCTGTCTCAGGTTCGTCCTCGAGGAAGTAAGAGATACATCCATGTGTGTGGGGGAACGCTGATCCACAAAAACTGGGTTCTCACTGCAGCTCACTGCTTTCAGAAGTAAGGCCTCAGGTCGCAATTCACCGATTTGGTTGCGCATTGTTTTCTGGACAGATGTCTGATGCTTTTTGTAAGCTGGCTTAATATTAGCTTTGGTTGAGTTTGCATCTTGTGTCTTACATGTATTTGTCAAGGTTGTACAGGAGAAATTCCACAACGCAGTTATGATTGTAGAAGGTATTCTACAGCTCGTTTCCTCCCAACATTGCATTTCTGCCAAAATGTAGCAGATTACAGTGACAAGGTACATCCAGCAATTCCTATGACAAAAAGATTCAGTTAAATTTTTGACACCTGTAAAATTATTAAGAATCTCAATTTGTCATATGCATTACTAAGTCGTACTAACAATAATAGGGATACAAGGACATTTTTTCTCTCGTTCAAGGTGCTTGACAATGCTTCAGAAAAGTGTAAAGGTGAAAAAGCCTGTCGTCTAAAGCCAAGGCAAAACTGACAATTAAAAGAGATACAAAGAGTACTACTTGAGCTTCAGTTGCAAAAGGTCACAGCAAAAGTTGAAAGGGATAGGGAATGCACAGGGGAAAGAGTTATGTTTTCCCGAGAAGAGAGATGGCGTCTGTTTTCTCAATTTGACAATCATTTTTCATATCCGCAGCTGGGATTCCTCCCATGTCACCACTGCAGACTCGCACTCAGCAGAACTGAGAAGGCGCTCACTCCAACATTAAGACGAGCTCTTATTGCTGCTGACTTCCTTTCAAGCAGCAGTTCTAAAATGTATACCAATGAGCTTGTAAGACACTTGGAAGGCAAGAGTAAATTTGATTTAGCGTGACCCTCCATCAGTTTTGTACTGTCTCTGAGGCTCCTGGGTACTGTTAGTATTGTAACACACCCAAGATTTGTCTTATTCATCTCTTAGCTGTAATATCATTAATGGTGCCTACTTCCACAACCACAGAATACGCAGTTACTGCTGTGTAAAGCATGTGCAAACCTAAGAAATACAGAGGCAGACCTTTAAAAATAGCTTTGAATTCACAACACTTTCTGACTGAATTCCTTGTGCAGGTCATTTGGGTTCAGACACTGATCACATGTATAAATCATGCTTGGAATCCTACCCTATAGTCAACTCTCACTCATACCTAATCGGTTTTAGAGTGTGGACAGATATACCCAGGGGCCATTTCTGTGAAGTCAGGACTCAGCATAAAGAGGTCTCAGTTTTTTTTAAAGTGTGGCCGATAAAAAGCTTTCTGGAATGCTCCTGAGAGCTGGGAGCTGCTGATAAAGAGCTGGCTTGGGAGGGTGATCTTGTGCTGTGGTTTCTGGGCCCCAGGGGGAAAGCGGAGGATGCTGGGAGCTGGCGAATTGTCCTGGGGAAGCACCGCCTGAAGCAGTCCGAAACAACCGAGCGGGTCTTTCCCGTTCGGAGGATCTACCGTCATGAGCGATTCCGCTACCCGGCGCACAGCGAGCTGGACTACGACATCGCCCTGGTCAAAGCCGGCCGCGACATCCCGCCCAGCCACTTCATCCGGTACGCCTGCCTGCCGCGCAAGGGGAGTCTCCTCCAACCGGGACACTACTGCTGGGTGACAGGCTGGGGCGACACCCGAGGTAACCCCCCAATTTGACAGCAAGAACTGTGGTGAATGCTTGATGATTTGAAACTTATCCAGCTGTGGGTGGGGTGATCCATCAAGGCAGAGAATCTGAGCGGTTTTGTGATTCTGTCCTAATAACTTGCTGGGCAGAGAGAAGGCTGTTACCAAACTCAATGAGCACAGCTGAGCCCAAGATGTCCTCCTCATTCTGGACTTGCTAAGATCCTCCCATTCTTCTTTCTTGTGTGTGCCTCCTGCCTGTGTAGGTTACACATCATACTGTGCTTGGTTGGTCAACAAGAAACAGGCACAAAAAAAAAACTACACTGAGAAGACAACGTAGTGCAGGCAGTCAAACTCAACTTGCGTGTCGCACATGCAGACTCCACACTGAAGGCACCATTCACTTCCAAGCCTTACGCTGCAAAGCTACAATACCCAACATTAAGAATAAATATCACTTAGTGATGAGACTGTCTAATGGCAGGTTATAGGAAAATGTCCAGTCGAAAGCATTAATGTTGCAATAATAATAATAATATTAATAATTGCTTACACTTATATACCGCTTTTCTGGACACTCCACTTAAAGCGCTTTACAGGTAATGGGGATCCCCTCCACCACCACCAATGTGCAGCATCCACCTGGATGATGCAACGGCGGCCATAGTGTGCCAGAACGCTCACCACACATCAGTTGTGTTATTCTTTTTGATTTTGGGGCAGGAAACTGCAACCCTGAGTGAAAGTGTAAACAGTTTTTCTCTTACAACTGGGCCCTGAGGAATTAATCATTCTATTTTCTTACTTAATACAGGTTAGCAGTTTTACGGATCCATAATAGCTGCCAATACAAACTGCTGCCCTGGAACAGGGAGGCAGACCCCAGCTGTAAAGGAAGTTCATGGTCTAAGGATGAAAACTGACAGACAGATGCCTGCTCCGGGGAGCAGAGCGGACAATCGGCAGAGTGGGGAAGGAAAGGAGGAGCAGGGAAAGAGGAACGAAGCTTGGGGAGGATTATGGGAGGAGCTGGGAGGAGGAGTGAGAGAGAAGAGCAGGGTAAAGGAGGCAGTGTCTGAAGGTGGCTCAAGTGACTGACGTTGCTGTGGGCAACCTGTACTTCGCAGGGGGAAAGGAGAACGTGTCTCTGGCTGAGACTCTCAATCAAGCTCGCCTGCCCATCATCGACTTCAGGACCTGCCGGCAGAAGAAGTTCTGGGGTGACCGAGTGCGAGACTCCATGATTTGTGCGGGATTCCAGGACACTGAGGGGCCACCGGCTGCGTGCCAGGTAACTGTGGGGGTGTACAAGGATGAAAGAAGCCTCTGCTTTAGACTCAGAGGAATGAGGAGGAATAAAGGGGCACAGTGGAGGATGTTTGTGAGTCACTTGCACACTAACAAGCACTTCCCTCACCACGTATGATTGGCATTTTGGTGCCCAAGCCCTGGAGGAGACAGAGTGTACATAGTGTGCCAGGGAGGAAATGATATTTGTGAAAAGAGGGCAAGTCAGTAACAAGAGTGGACAGAATATAAGTGGTCAGGTATGAAGGCTGAAAACATAACCATGTTTCTAATGCACAACTCAGGGCAGTTGGGGGTCTTAGTCTCCTCTATCTGAAGCCGAAGGAGAAGAAGAGGAGACTAGCGTTGTCATTGATGCTGTAACCATGTGTCCTCTCTGCAGGGAGACTCTGGGGGTCCCCTCCTGTGCCAGGTGGGCCGAGACCACTGGGAGGTGCATGGGGTGGTGAGTTTTGGACCCATCGGCTGCACCGTTGAGAACAAACCCAGTGTCTTTACCCGCACTTTGGCCTACCTACCCTGGATTGAAGCAACGAGAATCAGGGATTTCTTCCTGCACTGATCTCCGAGCTAGAGCCCAGCCAGCACTCAGCTGTCAGAGCCAGGATTTCTCCTTTGAGACTATTATCTCCTGGATTTCCCTGCTCCAAACAGGGTGTGTTCTCAACTGCAACAATTTCCAATACACATAGGCCTGTCCTGCCAAAGCATATGGGCTCCAGATCCTTTTTTTCTGGAACCTACTGACAGACTCTGTTGAAATCAACCCAGGTGTTTGGCTTTGACCGGGTCTTGGCAGCTGTGGTTCTCTTCCAGTCTGTTCCATGAGATACGCCTGCATGTGAAGGAATCCCAAGCAAGCTGAGATGAGAAAACTCCCTAATTTTCACTAATGTGAGGTCAGAATGTAGGGATAAAATCAGGCAATTAGGTGATAGGTAGCCTTTCTCTTCTCAAGGAAGTGGAGAAGCTTATAAACATTTACATATTTTTTTTCAAACATATTTCACACAAAGGTTCAATGTTCTCCCTGATTACAACAATTACATATTCCATACATCTAGGTGTTCCACCCTCCCCAGAACGTGAACGGTTTCAAGTTGCTGTACTTTTAACTGCGCTAAGTCACATTGTCCAGGACAGCAACAAGACGTTCACATACTTGCAGTAGGAAAGAGAATCTGTTGGCTGTGTAGGCTGTGGCGATCTTAAGTTTTATGAAAATAAATGTGTTTCTTGATGTCTTGGAGTTTTGTTTAACCACCCTGGCTATATCACAATTGTGTCCAATCAAAAATAACAAATCTTGTTACAGCAAACAATTGCAAACTAAAAGCAGCTGAAACCTTATTCATTGTTGATATAGGTAACAGAAAAGATCAACCTGATGCTAGTTGCTCGACTAAAGACTAAAACATGAATGTTTCGAAAATATTAACAACCTCTCAAAATGGTAATAGTTAACCATATCCAAGAAAAGGACTGACAACGCTGTTGAGAATTTCCTGTCATTCTATTCATCAGACCCACTGTGGTATTATTAACTTATTATGACAAGGTCTGAAAACACTATTAACCTTGGTCACCTGCTCAAGGGCAGAAACATTTTCTCGAAATCGACTTTTGGACACAGAACAGGTGAGTTGCACAACAGTGACAGCAAGAGGCTGCTAAAACAAACTTTTGGAGAATTCGGTGTCTATATTATCTTATTAGAGCAAGTCATTAAGGACTGTCGTGGAATTTTATCAAAGAAGAGCCAGGAGAGGTGTTCTCATTCACTCGGTAAGGTCTTTATTCATATTGCAATATGGGAAAAAGCCATCACCCGTCTGTGCAGGAAGTGAAAGCTGATTCAAAAGCAAGCAAGGAGAGCCCTTGTTTAATATCTTTTTTTAAGCTGATGCAACACCTCAAGGACAGGCAAAGCAGTAATTTTCATTTTCTTATAGGTTTTTGCTTTAAGCAAAGAAGAGCAGTTATTCAAATAGTTTCTCATACTCCCTTCTTCAAGCAGCAGAGATAAACATTATTAAAACATCCCGTGCCCTTGATGAGTTGGGTGCTATCACGCTTTGTTCTAAGTATCCAGCTGCTTCTGCAGCACAGCTCTGTCCATAAACAACATTTTTAGGATAAAACACTTTTTCTCAGTAACTTTCCATTACAGGAATCAGGGAATTCTGCCCCCAATAAGTGGCTCTAAACCTATGTCAGAGAAACTTTGTAACACTGAGCAGTGAATTCAGAGTGGATCATTCAGCTGGCAACTGTGCATGAGCCTGTGCCTGTTTTATTATTTATCCTGCTTCATCCAGCTCAGGTTTGGGGTGGGAGAGCTGGAACCTATCCCTGTAAGAAACAGGCACAAGGCAGGGTACACCCTAGACTGGATGCCAGTCCTTCACAAGGCACACATAGACACAAACACACTCACTCACACTAGGGTCAATTAAACCACCAGTATGTCTTTCGACTGTGGCAGGAAACCAGAGCACCCAGAGAACACCCATGTGAACTTGGTGAGAACATACAAACTCCAAGCGGATAGCACACCAGCTCTGGAATTGAACCCAGGGCGAGGCAGCAATGTTAACACCTGTGCCACTCTGTCACACTTTATTTTTAATATGCAACTTCATTTCTTTAGGAGTAAAAGTTCATTTAGTTCTAACGAAAAGAGCAGTCTTTCTCATCCCAGTTCTAGTCCGATCAATAATAGCAACCCATTCATATATCCTAGACCTAGAGAGAAAAACCTTTTCACTACATGGTCAAATTTTCCAGTAACTACCAGTAACAATTTTGGATTTCATCAGAAAATGAAACTTTTTTTTTTTTACAAAACAAAAAACCTTAGCAGGTAACATTACTGAGAACAATGATCTTACAGATCTTACAGACCTTCTCTACCTTCAAGGAAGAAAATGTGACACTGCGTACGCCTCTTATGTGATACATTACCCCCTCAGATTGCCTACTAGTAGCCTCAAACTTCTCTGTTCTCTTTCCTTTTATTACTCACGTCTATCTCCACACATAACATCCACTGTAATACTGAGCAGCTTTTATCAAAATCCATTAAATACCACGTCTGGTTATGCATCATTGACTGTCTGAAAGCGTATTTTGCAGTAATATTAATATAAGTGATATTGCTCATTACTACAATACATTTAAGTATCTTTAACATACAACTTCGCAATAAGCCACTAGACGGCCACATTGCGCCACACTTATATTATTCGTTACTTTCTGCAGGAGACAAGGGTCTTGACTGAGGGAAAGTTTCTCTTCACGAGTCGCGTTCTTAATTGCAAAATATTTTATTTCTAACAGTAAATACTTTATTAAACTTGATATTGTTGCATTAATTAAATGAGTAATATATATGAAAATATGAAATCATATCAGAATATATTGTTATTCAGTATTTTACTTATTTAAAATGATGCCTTTAGATAACTATACAAAGTTAAATATTTCGTACAGTAAATGAGGTGATTTCGTACTCACACACTTTGAGACAGGACTCAGGATTTTAAACCTGCCCTTAATGTGAAAAACAATAATTTGTACATTCAGTATTTGTTGAAACGAGAAGTGGTACTTCAATACCTGTGAGCAGTACGCATATACTGGTCAACAGTCCGCTATAAACAACACGTATTGAAGCTTTCGGACAAATCAGTAACAGTAACATTTAGTTCGACCTTAGACAGACGTTATACTGTACTTAGCGTGCTCCTCACAAGCGAGGAGGTAATACACGTAATAGCAGGGTATTCTGCTATGAGAAACGTAAAATGAACGTGGCATTATAAGTAGGTCTTAAAACCTATTAAAAAAGGTGAAACATTCACAGGTGTGTTACAGTAATGACTGTACGGAGAGAGCGCCCTCTACCGAACATTTCGTGTACAGTCTGCCGGCCTTGCGCCACATCTCGCGAGAAGCGGGGCCCGTGGGCGTGGCGTCCTGTCCCAGCCAGCGTGGGTAGAGAGCGTGGTGTGGGGTCAAGGGATACAATCGATCCGAGAGGAACAGCTGCATAAAGTCTGCCCTTGGTGCCAGTCAGCTAACCCCTCACCGCTCACAGGATCCACAATTTGATTCCCACTGTCATCTTTCTAGGTAAGTCGCTGGAAAGTCCCCGTGAAGTTGGATTGTCGTTTGGTCAGATTCTTTGATGTCGACACAGGGCAGGACAGTCCCATTTATACTATCGGGTAGTGCTGTGTGTATTTTTACTAACGGACATTAAACAGCAGTACCGGTGCGGTAAGAGGTGTGAAGAGGCTTGTGAGAGCCGGGAGAGGTCAACGGAAGGGTGATGTTCTCTTGTGCTGTAAATTCTTCTTTTTAATCTTTACAAGGGTGTGTTCTACTTCTCTAACTTATTTTATCCCGAAAATATATTTGTTTAATTGTGTGACATTTATTTTTGTTGAGATCCTGCGTTTCGGCAGTTAAGATTTCAAGCGGAAACTTAAAACGTATTAATTTTGTCCTTGGCCACTAAAGTACGTTTCCATTTAGTTTTGCGGGGTGCAGGGCTTGCTTTTGCGGACACTGGACAGGTAAGGCATCACTGTTAAATTTTCTAGCTTCGATTGTAACGCTTTTTTGTTAGATTTTACAGCGGATTTGTATATAAAGTATCTTTTTTGGTAAAATAAACAGGCTCGGCGTTCTAAAAAATAAACAATCGGTGAGTAGTCACTGTTTTTCACTTCCGGTCTTTCCAACGATGGCTTTTTCTTATCAGAAACTTCTAACCTTGCATACCGTGGTTCAGAAGTTAAAAGGTGATTCAAAACTAAGTTCCATAGTTTTTGCAGAAGTTAAAACACTTTCGAGTTTAACTCGTGTATTGCTGTCCTGTGTGTTAAGTGTCAAGTAACTATGTAACGCTACATTTTCTATTGCTAAAACAGCGCATATTTTACTTGCTTGCTCGTATTGTATTGCTTTTTACAGCCGGAACGTCCTGGGGTTAATCTTGTAACTTGTATGGTTTGTGTGCTTGCTGGCGGTTGAACACGCTGCATACAGAGATTAAAATTTGAAAGACCCACCACCTCAGCTCCCCCTCCCTATTGTAAACGTCCTAGCGTGCCCCCTTGCCCCGGCTCGAGTTATTGTCCAGGAACACGCAGGACAATTCCGGACTGTGGGAGGATCCCAGCTCCGGTCCAGATATTTCACGCTGATTTATAACAATCAACGCTAAATGACAGATCTCATCATGCTCTGACATACTTTCTGGACTGAACATGTAAGGAATGCACGCCTGTTTCTAAATCTCGCAAACATAACCACACAGTGCAATGCTGGAACACCAGCACTTAGTATTTTAACTAGTGTTTCTCCCGCTTAGAATACAGAACAGCTGTTATCTGCCGGTTTTCTTTCCAGACTAGTTCATAATTGTAAGCTGTTGAAGTTCAGTTGTGCGTTTTGAGCATTTGGTCTTTAAAAAGCCTTTATCTTTTTAAAAGTTAAATAGGCTTTGCAATTTCACCCATGTACCAGTTTCAGAGTTCCAGCACCCTTGAAGTGGACCTGTTTTGGAAGCGAGGAGTGCAGTAAAGGATAAAGTACAAGAAAGCAGCAGTAAGAGCTCCTCTGAACCCAGTCAGCAGGCAGAGTTTCCACAGGACCAGGGTTTGGGACCAGTTTTTTGAGCGAAGCAAGTAATACCAGAATTACTCGCATTACCAGTGCATAATTTCCCCTCGCCTTCTACAAGGACAAAGTGCCACTATTGAGTACCCAGTTGATAAATATTGTGCTTTATCTGGCGAAATTGTTTGTGAATTTAAATTATGAGCAATGCATGAAATTGCATGAAATTCCATAGTCACTAATAATGATTTATCGGTATGTTTGTCACGTAAATCTTCACACAGCTTTTTAAAATATGTTTTTATATTTAAAATTGATTCCTATAGGTCTCAGTTGATCCATGTGCGTATTAGGTGGGCAGCTGAGCAGTTTTGAATGTAATCAAAAATAATCCCGAAGCGTTTTAACTGCGTAAAAAGCACGCGGAATCAAAATCAATGAGCTGGTTAGGATTAGGATTAATTTATTATGCCCGTTGAAAGAAAAATCAACTGTTACGAGGTTTTTAAGGGAACAGTCTATTCTAAATTTGTTTCAATAGCAAATATTCTATTTTACATTTTTTTCCAACACGTTTTTTTAATCATTTAAGTGAGATGCGTGTCAGGTGTTTAGCTTGAATCATTTTAACTAAATTAATATAAAGGTCTAAATGCAGCAAAAGTGAGCAAAAGTCCACACTTATCTGACTTTTGTATAGACATTTTGTGGTAGTCATGTAATTCAGGTTAACAGGTTAGAGAAAATAAGCCTGGAAAATGTATTATTTGTCGGCTTCTTGCAGTAGATTATTAGGGCTAGGGCTAATGTGCTGGTTTGTGTATGCAAAATGATACAAGCAGAAAAAAACGTGTCCGTCTTGTGTCCGTTTCAGTCCCCCTCGAAGTTGAAGCGTTTCTCTTATCGCTGCGCTCTGCTTGTCCTCTGAGCGCCCCCTTCCTCGTGGTGTACGTGCAGAACGCAGAGCTGACTGTGGCGGATCGGCTGCCACTTTCCTGCTGACGTAGAGAGACGCGTTAGATAAGAGTTTCCAGCCGGGGAAGATAACCCGGGTGGCAGGCCGGTAGCTTGGGTTTCAGCAGCCAGAGCTCGGAAGAGAACAGAACGGCTGACGTATCGGAAAAGAGCAGCAACGAGATTAGGTGAGGTCGTTTACGCTGGGTTTTCGGTATTCAATTCCTGTTGTTACAGAAAGTCAACACCATTTTAACTAGAAGGAGAAAGCTAGGCAACCATGTCGGTGCAATACAATAGCTTAGGGTTTTCTTTTTACGATAGGCACTCGTATATGCACAGAGAGGTATATCGCAGGATTTTAAAGAAACTACCTCGTTAACTTGATTTGGGTGGGTCAGTTATGAAAAACGGTTATAAAGAACCATCCGTTGAGTATTAAGTCGTTAAAAATCCTGCAAGTGTCTCGGTTTAGTCTAGGGTGGAAGAAAAGATTTTCACTGCCAAAATATTTTTGCGCCTTACGACGTGAAGGCAGAACCTGGATCTAAAGCCGGTGGGGTTACAGACACCGGGTTGTCACTGCTGTCTGAGAATAAATAAAATGCCAACGTGTTGACACAGTCCTGCGGCTTGCAAGTTCAGTCTTGAAACCTCCCTGTGCGAGCTCGGTGTCCGAGGGAACGGTACCTCAAGTTTCTCAGGCTCTTTGTTGTTCAGGAACACCATGTTAACCGAATTTTGATTATCAAGGCCGTACGCATGTGCATGCAATACTGTTGCATTTATAAAATGTTTTGTTTTGTGTATTGCAATCGATATGTCACTGTTTTGGACCTGTCGGTCTTTGTTCGCTTTGCCTTGGAGAGTTGGAGAGACTGGATCGTGTCTAAATCGGAACAGTGATAAAATGCATCGCAGAATTAGGGTTTTGTTATAAGGAAGGGCGCAGAGGCAGGAGATCTCTGGAGAGGACAGTGCTGCAGAGAAGGCTGATGCAGTTCTTACCAGTTAGTGGGATGGAGTTGTTGTTTTTTTTAAACGCGGCAAGAATATGTACTGAAAACAGCTCTGAAGCACAACTTAAATAGTAAATATTCCCAAAGCATTGGAACGGGAAAGAAGCTGAGACGAGGAAGAACATGCATATTTACAAGACTGATGAAGGAAATAGTTTCTCAAGGGCAGTCAGATAATGACTGGGAGGGGGAATGGAAACTGAAACGTTGAAGGTTGCCATTTTAGTGCTCAGGATTTTTTTTTAAACTTGAAACCAAAGGAAGAATTTTACTTTGCCAGGTATACTAAAGCATTGTGACTTAATGCTTTGGTCAGAGAAACTTCATCTTCATCTTTATATTTATCTCTATTGCTAGGGCCTTACTGATCATTACTGCAATGAAGCTAGATGTTCATGCATATCAAAAGTTTTCTGTTTGCCCTGTGAGCTTTAATGAAATGTAAAATGTTGAGGCTAATGCTCCACAGTAGCTATTCACTGTGCATAAAAAAGGCATTGCAAAAATGTATCCTAATCACGAATGCAAGATTTATGCACAGTGGTGAAGCTGTTTGCATCTCTATTAGATGGTCAGCTGTCCCATTCTCCCATCTCTAAGCTTGCTCCTAGATTCTTATTCATAAATGCCAGTGCCAAAAGTGTATATTTCACCACAGAACTCCTTTATCCTATCATACTTCCCCGTGTTTCAGGCTTTGCTTTTCTGTATGAGGAAAATAGTTTACCATTGACTGGTTGTAGAGATCTCCTGTAGGCTGCAGTGTGATTATTGAAGGGTCTTCTGTGTCCCGGCACGCTGTGTACTGCCTGATCCCCTTTCTCAGTTGTTGTGCCAGATGCTGTCAGCTCTGCCTTTTTGTATGGCTGACAAAACTGCAGGCTGTATGACCTGTATGCAGGCTGTATGACCAAGAACCTAATTACACCCCAGAGCTGAACAGTGCCTTTGGAGCAGAGCCTCTAAAAATAGAGCATTTCAACCCCCCAACACTGAAGTAATTAGAAATGTTTCACATAAGATTTAACACCGAGGTAATTTACTATTTCTGCCTTTTCTTCACAAGAAATCATTGTTGCAGTGTTGCATTATATTTAACTGTTGAGTAAAACATGTGCTTTGTGTAATCAGCGGAAGTGCATTCTGACCTGGCTGGGGAATTGGTGGATTTATAAACAGCAGGGGATTGTGCTCGGGTACAGGTTAATCCTGGGCTCATTATTTCAGTCCATCCTCAGTGATGTGTGCTGTTATTTTTGGGTATGTTGAGGGCAACCACTAATCACAGGCGTTTCACAGTGGGTATGACACTAAGCCACGTGTAACAGGAAAGTCCTGTTATAGCTTTGCATGAATGCCATTGTTTTTCCATGGAACCTTAAGTGCACACCTAGACAGGTTTGGACTGGGATAGGGATAGGAAGAAAACTGTTGCTGGGAAGTGAAATAATTCTGACATTTTTCTCTCTGGGACAAAAATGTTTTTCTTTTACATCATGAAGTATTTTTAGGGGCTCTTTCATATTCATTTGAATACATATTGGACATTTGATTGAATCTTTGGAGAAGCGTGTGCTGTATTGTTTTGTGTTTAAGATGAAGTAACTCGTTTAACAAAGTGAAACAGGAGATGTTAAACTTGTTGATCTAAAAATAGTGCTGTCTGGGAATCTTGAAAATGGCCACAAGATTAACCTTGGTTAGTACTTCCCAGTGACAGTGTATACAAATAACAGACTGATTTGTCCTTCTGAGTTTCTGTTAAATTAAAGGTTTTCTGCCGAAGAATAGTGATTTGTCTTTCTGTTCTTAATTAGCATCTTTCTGCATTTAGTGAAGGGGCGAGTTTTGTCAGTCATTTAATTGGTTTTCACATCGAACGTTTCATTGTTTATTTGACGATTAAGCTTTCAAGCAGCTCATGAAGATCTGGGGCTGTTTTTGTACTGTTGAGTTACATTAGCAGGAGGAACGAGTCACTGCAGCATGTTTCTCTCATCCAGGTTGCAGAATGTCATCCGCTGTGGAAGATCGTGACAGGGACTCTCTCAGGAGGTGCCTGCAAGCACGCTGCCAACTGGAGGCATCCATTTCTGGAGTCACAAGAGCAGAGCTGCAGCTGAGAGACAACTCCAGAGAGGTGAGGCAGTGGGGTTTGGTCCTCACGATGGAGCAGGAACCTTCAAATGAAAGGGACTGCATAATATGGATTAGGAATTGCGGATTGCACATTTTCATTTATTTGTGTACTTGGGGAAGACCAGATTCCTCAAGAGCAATTCTCAAAATTCTCAATAATGTTTGCAGCCAATCGGGATGTACAAGCCACATGCATCAAATATTTACTACCAAGCTTACTTTGCATTTATTTGCTACACAGTATTGTAAAGTCAATCCTTCTTGGGTACCGATTCAAGAACACATGCTAGGTGTGAGAATTCTTTTTGTTTGGTCAGTTTAATAACGCCATTAGTTTTCATTTTCCTGTGAAGAGGGAGCTACCTGTATAGATGCAAGTTTTGTTTTTTAATGAATTAGGTCCCTTTTTTAAAAATAGAAAATGGTATCTGAAATGAGGTGAGAAGAGCCTGGCCTTGAAAGAGCAGTGTATTTGGCTTCTCAATCACTGGTTACAGCAGAAGACTGAAACTTGAGTCATCTGCTATCCGTCCTAACAATTTCCATTTGTGTTTATGGAGCTGTAAGTATTCTTTGTTGTTGGACATCTGTGCACATTAATCACCAAAGGACACACCTGCCCTGCTTAACTTTGTTACAGGGAGCTCTGTGTCCTTATGTGGGCAGTTCTCACCACTTCGCTGAGATCATGTAGTAGGATCTGCCGATTGGGGAAAAACCACACATGATCTGTGATAGCATGTTTTGACACGTGGGCCAGCCTTTATAAAGCAGGCATTAGCCAGGAGACAGCCAAAGCGATGCACAGCACGGTCTAAAGACATGCAGTGAGCACATGCTGGCAAGTTCATCAGGTTTTCTCTAGAATTGTTTTAAACAGGTAAGCTGGATATATTTTTTGCCGCAGAAATGGTTGATCATAATTCAGGTTGTTATGTTCCATGAAGTTGAATAAAATACTATATACTGTATCTTAGAGGTTAAATAGTATGTCTGTATTGAACAGTATAATTCTGTGGAGAATAGTATGAATGAGTATAGTGGTGCTGCTTTTCTCTCCATTTTTTTCTTAACCTCGTGAACTTTTCAGAAGTGGTGGGACATACTCAGACTTGGGAGTATTCGTGCAACTCAGCTGGAGTACTTGGCTACTTCTGACATGGATATGCAGTTTAGTGCTGGACTTACCTGTTTTGTATGGCTTTCTCTCTCTGTATAGGTGAAGGCCCAGATCCATAGCTGTATCAGCAGGCACCTGGAGGTCTTGCGCTCTCGTGAAGTCTGGCTGCTGGAGCAGATTGAGATTGTTCAGCATCTTAAAGAAGAGGCACTACAACAGCAGCACCACCAGCTCCACTGTGTGAGTCAGCTGCTCTTCAACTGTATCTCTTTATACTGTGTTGTGTGGCTATATTCTTAGTGAGAGATGCTCTTGGCTTCTGTGTATTCAGTATTACTTGGAGATGTACTGCTTCTTTGTAATTTGAGTTCTGTTTGCTGTGCACGATTACCCAGAGCTTTATAAGTAGGAGAAAACTTATTTTTGTGCAGAAGAGATTTGAATCAAGATCTGATTTGTACAGTGATAACAGGTTTCTTACATTGTCTCAAGCGTACCTCATGTGGGTCTTGATTTTAACAGCTTCCTCCTTATTTCAGCTTCTGGGTCAGTTGAACTTTCTCATTTATCAGTTGGAAAATAACAACAGCAACAACCTGGCCAATCAGATCACCAGCTGCCTGGAGAAGTAAGAACTACTTTACTTCTGCCTCTTGTGAATTAGATTTGTTTTTTTCCACAGTTTCTACTTGGGTAAAAAGAATAAGCCAGTTTCAAAACTAAGGACTGAAAAATTGTAGAATTGTAATTTTGTAAGTACCAGGTTTATTGGTGGTTGTATTGAAATTCACTGCTGAATAAAATAAACAGTAAATCTAGACTATCCTATGAGCATGAGCTGGCTTTGCTGATTAACTATCCACTGTGTCTTTGTGCAGGTTGTCCAGCCTGAACCTGAAGCCCGAGGAGACTCCCGAGATGAGTTTTCAAGCCGACATCCGCTCTCTCCGCCAAGCCATCACTTCCTTTGGGACCATTGAAACTAAGGTATGTGGGAGTCCTCTCCAGGTGTTGCCGCCGCATGCTGACAAGTCAGCCGGGCCCAGGGATTTACGCATATGCACCCTATGGCTCCATTTTGCTTTCCGGTATGATTTGGAGTTTTGGTGAGCAGTTCAGGCGGTGTGTTGAATCTAAAATGCTTCACTCGAAAAGTTATGTCCTGTAATTATTGTATTACAGCAGTTAAGCTACTATTTAATGTAAGTTACTTAAGGCATTCAGTGATACCTGAAGACTGAGATCTACATTCTCTAAAATGAGTATAGTCTTTTCTAGCCTAGCCCATTGTTAAAAATATTTTCATGATTTATCTCCCCCCCCACTTATTCCTTAATGACAACTGTCTTACTTTTTTAGGGGACGGAGAACCTTTCTATTAGTTCACCACCAAGTAAAAGCTCCTTGGACGATGTCTGGCTCTTTCAGAATTGCCCCTTGGCTTATACACAGCCGGTAAGCTTTCATTTTCTTTTCCATGTCTTTGTGCTCAATCGCTGTGTCTTGTTTACAAGGATTTTATGGGGAAATATGTGTAAGCCACATTGTGATTGACAAAGTGGTGGGTATGAGTATTTCATGGCTTCATATTTTTGTGTCCCACAGAAGGTGGAATCTAAACTTTGGACAGAACTTGATAACTGGATTCTGAAAAGTTCTTCGGGTTCCAGTCCTCAGTCAGGATGCCAGTTGAGCTTCAACCTCGACGACTGGCTGTACAAACCCAAGGAGAAGAGCCAGGTGAGACAGGCTGAGGCACTTAATAGATGTGTCTGTAGTCTTTCCATTTATTTAGATCAGTGGTTCTCAAACTGTGGTACGTGTACCGGCAGTGGTACGTGGCGTGCCGCCAAGTGGTACGCCAAATTACCCTGGAACTGTGTGGTGTGCACTGAAAAATCGGGACGGGTTTTCATATTTTGTATTTTAATACGTGTCAAATACGCAGCCTACGTACTACGATACAGTGCGCGCTAATACTTCAGTGGACACGAGAGATACTCTGTAATTCTATACCACTCTATAGGAATGCGTGCTACAGATGCAAGTGACCAATTGTATTTAAAAAAAAGCTACTGTATCTCCAGCAAATAGGGAGAAAGGAGAATGTGCATGATTTTGAACAATGCCAACTTTGTAAACACAGGAATGCATAGAAATATGTGCTACGAATGTAGGTAATCTTGTGAGCACACGAAAGCGTGATAACAGAAAAATATTTAAGAACTGTTCTAATTTGAGAAAAATACACCGAGCGTCTCTGTTTCGCTCCCATGCGCATGAAATAAAAACTTTAAATACAGAAATAAAAACGGAAACGCGGAAAAATGCAGGCTTGGGGATTGCTAAAGCAGGTAAGCTACACTATTTTTGAAGAACCTTATTTACCGTTGGCAAAAGAGCTAACGTATTATGTGTGGAGAAAAGGCTGCTAAACAGCTCGACCTGCTGCCCCCCTCCCCGTGAAAGACAGTCATTCATAGAATTATTGAAATGAAGGGTTATGTCAAAAGAACACTCATAGAGCGCGTTAAGATGAGCAGATGTTTTTCACTGCAATTAGATGAGTCTGTAGTCGATTTGGTCAATTTGCTCGTTTACGTTAGATACGAGTTTGAGGGTATGTCCCATGAAAACTTTCTGTTCTGTAAACCGCTACCAACAGGAACTACAGGAGAGCAAATATTTCAGCTTCTGAATGACTTTATTGGAGAGAATGGCCTCGACTGGATAAAATGCGTCTGAGTTTGTACAGACAGTGCTAGAGCAATGACAAGCCGACATAACGGTGTAGTTGCACGAATTAGAGAGGTTGCTCCAGAAATTAATGTACGCATTACAACATCCACCGCGAGACCTTTGCCATCAAGAAAATGCCTGACGATTTAATATCTGTTAGACTCAGTTGTGAATTATATCAAGGCTCGAAAAATTAATTCACCTCTGCTTTGCTCAACTAAACAGGCTCAGCCCTCTCACTGAAATGGTGCTTTTTTATTAGTAGTTGTTAATGTTTTTTTTTTCCGTAAAACACTTTGAGAAGCCACCTTTAAAGGCGCTATATCAAAAAAAAAGTTTATTATTGTAATATTTATTATATGTATGTGTGAGTGTGTGTGCACACCCGCTCATGTTGGTCATTGAGAATTTCTGGGGTTCCTATGAGATGATGACTTGTAGGTGGTACTTGGATGCTTTGGTTGGATTAGGGGTGGTACTTGGTCCAAAAAGTTTGAGAACCACTGATTTAATTATTAACAAGGTCCTTATAATACAGTTAAAAACCGTAAATGACAATGACTTTTTTTATCTAGAATGATTATGAAAGAACATAAACCGCAGGTACCAGATGTGCATGTTGATTTCTCACATGGCATTCCATACATGTTTTTTCTTACCAGGTGAGCTGTCCTTTTGCACAGTTTGAATTTGACAAAATGTGCACAAAGACAGATGTGGAGGCCTGGGTGCTGAAGGATAGGGTGCCCCCTAGGGAGCGCTCTGTGAGCGAGACCAGCAGCAGCACCATGATGTCTATTGAAAAGATTGAGGATGCGGATCTCAATCTCAGTGAGGGAGAGGAAGGGCAGGAGACTGAGGACCTTAAGGATTGGCTCGTGACCTCGCCCACAGAGGAGAAAGAGGAGCTCGCCGAGAACAAGAGCCACGCTGATGACAAGCCGAAGACGATGTTCTGGCCGTTTTCAGAGCCCTTTCGCGCCAGCGACTGGCTGGTCAAGTACGATGACAGCTGCGGTGCCTGCCGAGGTCAGTCCAAGGCCGTCGAGATCGAGAACCTGGGAGCCCTGAAGTGCCTGAAGCATAGCCCTTCTCCCAGCCCGGCTGCCACCAGCTCTACGGAAACCGTCCGCGTGGAGCAGGTGTGCAAGGCCAATGAGCCCTGTGGAAGCTTCTTGGACTGCGTGTGTGAGGAAAACTGTGGCAGGGAGGCCCTTTGCGGCTTGCTGTTCAAGAAGGAGGGGCGAGACAAGAATGGCATGCCGCTGGATAAGAACAAGGTCCTTGAGGAGTCCTATGTGAATGATATAGATCGCTGGCTGCACCCCAGGAAGAAAGAAGTGCCTGCTTCGTCTTTCCCCTCATATGGGCTGACACTTCAACCCCAGGAACAGGAGAAGACCACCCAGGAAGAGCCTGAATTGAAGTGCAAGGACCCCTTCAAAGTTTCTTTCAATCCCGAAGATTGGCTGATGCCCAGACGAAAACCTAGCCTTCCTGCCCCATGCACCAAAAAAGAAACTCCAATTTACACCAGCACAGAGGAAGACAAGTGGCTGCTGCGCAAGAGAGCTCCAGTAAGTCTGTTTTTTGTTTTATTAATTTTGCGATCTGATAACCACAGTCCTTTTTATGTTTTTCTTGTACAAAATTAACCTTTTGGGGGAGCATGGTGGAGTTGCATGCACTCTATTCTAATTCTTCAGAAACTAAGATGAGCTCTAGTCCGATGAGCCAATGAAAATGACCTGCCTTGTTTTGATTTCAGGAGCAGAATGGCCCTACCTCGTTTTCGGACCTGTTTGCATGTATGACACTGAAAGGGGACATGGAGAAGTGGCTGTATAAGGCACCCATACAGGTGAGACTCCCAGACCATTAGTAAATCTCCTTTGGGCTGTTCACATTTACATGAAGTTTAATGGAGAGGTTTAGAGAAAATAATTTGATAAATACCATGCTTTTCAAGAAGATAGAAGTATTGGTGAATAATGTGTACTTCATTTTATATCCCAAACACCCACCTTACATAGATAGACATACAGGCTGGGCTTGTGTGCTGTCAAAGTATTTGTTCATCAAGCTATTTTATAGCATATTTCAAGATTTTCTAACGAGAGCCTTCCTTATACTGCTCCACATTATACAGTATATCAATGGTGTCTGACTTCCTCACGATTTGCTCCTTTTTTTTCTTGCAGAAGTGAGAACATGAGAAATTAGCTGTTGAGAATTTTGGAGTGAGCCACTGTAATCGCTGATCTTCGCACACGTTATCCTGAAATACTTTCTTTGCTGCCCTGTCAAGACTTGTCTGGTTTCTCTGTCCTGTGCTGGGAAGTGTTATCGCACGAGTTCTCTGAAGAAATGAAATGGATTATTCTCTCCTGGTGTGGGCCTGGAGACCGATGGATCCATAAGTCTGGTGCATGGAAAGATGGGAAGAGTGCATTTTTGACTCTGTGAGGAATTGTTGTTGGAGGATCCCTTAGCGTATAGGCGGTCAAACAGAAGGGAAGCCTCCTAAAATGTGATGTAAAGGGTTTGTTCCTGAATAAAGTGTACAAGTACATTAATGCAACATTTAATCTGTGCAAGCGTACAAGGCATCTTGTATGGACAATAATGTGGATTGGAGTAACCCCTTTAGATTCAGGTTTTGGTGAGGTTAAATTTTGCAGCTGAAAGACTAGAAAAACAGCTGTAAATCTGAGTGCCCATTCTAATAGTTGCTGAGAAGTTATATTTTAATTTTTTTAAATCCTTCATTTTATGGTCCAATTGTAGTCGTTTATGAAAGGGAGATGTTGAAAAGGTTGGGCTTCCTGCTTGCCAGCGTAAATGTGATATAGGCAGGGAGAAGTAGTGCTATAATTTCTTGCAGGGCAGCATGAAAACATTTGCCATTAAACTCGTTCCTGAGTCCATGTCCTTCATAAATACTTCCAGCTTCCGCCCATAGAAGGAAATGGTCTTGGAGCCTATATTGTTCTTAAACTCTTAAGATTTAATTGGTAAGAATCAGTGTCCTCAATCTTGAGATTTTTAGTCCAATATATTAACAATATTATAATCTGAAATACTAGCTGAAAACTATCTAATGATTAATCACAAAAAGTGAAAGTACTTAGATGTATTTTATGCTGTTGCTAGAAATTGCACATTTCTACAGAGTATTGGTGTAGGAATCATCTTGATTATTAAGATGTGATTTTTTATAGATGCAGCGATTGCATTTATCATGCTGCTGCGTCCCTTACTTGGCACCTGAGAGGGGATTAAGAACATTTTGAAAGCAGGAGCTTCAGGTCAGTTCCAGTCAAGTGATCAGTACTTTGAGTCAATACTACCAATATAAGCCATCCAAACTGAAAAGATTAAAGTCAGCTCAGTGAACGTGCCAAGCAGACAGTAAGTAAGCTGTGATCCCAGCCTTGTTCCTTTAGAGCCTGATAAAGTAGCTAAATTGAGCCCTAACCATCTCCCCCCTTTATTTTACTTTATTTTCTTCTTGCCTTCTTAATCTCTTCAGTGTGAAGGGCCTCAATATGTAAAGTGCTTTACCATATAAATACTAGATAAAATATATAAATACATTGCAATTCATTCAATTGCTGTGATCTACACCATGTGTTATTAAACTCTTAATAAACAAGGAAATGTTTTTGAGTGTCTGGTTCTTTAAACAGCAACTTAAACTGCTTGCTTCAAGTATTTCTTTAATGCAACAGTGGTTAGAAGTTACATGCACAGACAGTTAGTTATGCAATAAAGAGGATGAATCTTGTTTTTTTTTTTGTTAACCTACAGTTGCCAATTAGACAAATTGCTGAGCAATATGACTCCAGAGATAGTGAAATCTTGAGTGCCCAGCCTTGCTGTTTAGGGAAAACAGAATTAGCTATTAACATAATGCACTAGAGTATGGTTTACAGACAATTGACCTCATTTTGAGATCAAGATTAACCCATGATTCATAAAGCACAATGATTAAATTAATTGCTTTCAAGTAATGTGGGCCTTCCATCCCTTTCTTTGAAAGCAAGTTCTTATATAAAATAATTTTTCCAGGTGTTTCTCAATACAAAAGAGTCTAAACTATGACTGAAACTGGCCAGCTAATCTTATTCTTCTATGCACTGGGAACTGCAGTACAAGCTGAGAGGGAATTTTTTTGCAGCTGTTTTAAAGCTTGTAAGCCCTAATGCTAAGGTTCAGTGATTCAGACAGAAGCAGAATAGAAAGAGCAGGAGGCAGTGCAGCTGGAAGCATGAAGAGGGAAACCCCCATGTTTGAGGGAAGAAGCTCAGATGTGGTGCAATTTATCCATTCTTATACAAGGGAGTAGAGAAACTTGACTATTTTCTCATAGTGTGCTTAGTTGGTAAACATAATGAGTTATCTGCTAGAATTGTTGGGACTTAACATAGCTGGACTAACATTACCTTGGTGCTATAGAGCACATGCAACACCCTAAAGTTTAAAATGAGCAGTTATTCTCAGGTCAGAGAACTCTAAATGCAGTTCTATCTTTCACTTGATCACTGAATCCTTAGGAGGATACATGAAGCAAGGCTTGTGAGAGAGGATCGAGATTTGTCTCACTTCTACCTTTGCTGCCATCATCATTGCCGCTAGATTCATTTGTAAAAGGAAGCAAAAATGACATGCTGACAGAAAAGTCAAGGTTTGACCCTGAGTATTGCACTGTGCAAAAGCAGTTATTTTTTCACATACTGAGCACATAGACAACACTGGTTATAAAAGCATGTTTCTATAGGTAAACAGAACGGTTACTTCTATAGCTTCCTTGGTGTAAGTGACTATATTCCATGATGTGACATTACAAGTGGGGCATATTTAGTTTTGAGAAGTTTCACAGAGCGTCTTCATAGGGGGTACTGGCAAAGTGTCAAACATGAAGGCAAACTGTATAGTAGAGGAACAACACACCGTGAATAGCTTGCTTACAATTCGTAGGAAAAATTCAGAACTACTGAAACAAAATAATTGCACAGAAATGACAAGTGCTTGATCCAGACAAATGCTGGCAAACAGGTGGAACATGGTGCCATGTTTAGGTGGCAGCACTCTGACCATCAGACTGAAGACTATGAATCATGCAACAGACTAAATGTAGAGGCTGTCTGTCAGGGATAGTACTGTGAGTGGTCCTGCTAAAGTTGTTTTCAATAACATTCCAGTCTGCATAAGCTCCACGCATTTTCTGCTTTTGTAATGCTTTAAACGGGTTGTGTAATCTGATTCCAGCTAAAAAACAATGACTATTGTTAGAATGTCAGGCTGTTGCAAGTCATACCAAAATGATTTCACTCTAACTTGGGGCACAGTTTTTGCCTGACCTTTCTGCTCACTGGTGTAAATATCTCCTCCACCTCCTGCAGCAGAACCAAGCAAGCAGATACAGTAGTGCTGTGTCTGGTTAGCTTCATGCCCGTACGTTCTCTGTTATGGGTTATGGGTGCTCATTTCAGTCCTCCTTAGAACATACTATGATAAAACATCCAGTGTATTATCCCCACAAGGTGGGACTTCAAGACTGTTACTGATACTGTTGAAACTATCTGGACACTGAACTCTGATAAGAAGAGCACCACAACACCAGACTTGGAAGGCACACATTTCTGACATTTTTGTTACATCCCAGCACTTCCCCCAAATCTTCTCTTAACTGCAGGAGTCCTTTCCTTGATTGTTCAGGTCTTGGAGATCTAAAGAGATCTGTAAGACCTGCAGGACTGTGGCCCTCCATGACTGCAGTTATACATCCCTTTATAATAAAGCAAAGCTCAGAAATAATTTCTTCCCTTCTTCACTAAGAAGTACTAATAATTAATAATTCCTAACACTGATACCACTTTTCTGGACACTCCACTCAAAGTGCTTTACAGGTAATGGGGACTCCCCTCTTCCACAACCACCACCAAATGCAGCCCCAGCTGGACAATGCGACGGCAGCCATAGTGCTCCAGAACACTCATCACACATCAGCTATCCATGGGGGAGGAGAACAGAGTGATGAAGCCAGTTCACAGGATTATTGGGAGGCCATGATTGGTAAAGGCCACTGGGAAGTTTGGCCAGGGCACCAGGGTAACACCCTTACTCTTCGAAAAACACTGACATTTTTAATGACCTCAGTCTCCTCTAAAGGACGCCATCTTTTTACAGTATAGTGTCCTCGTAACTATACTAGGGCATTAGGACCCAGACAGACCGCAGGGTGAACACCCCCTACTGGCCCCACTAACACCTATTTCAGTAGTAACCTTAGTTTTTCCTAGGAGGTCTCCCAACCAGGTACTGACCAGGCTGAGCTTCAGTGGGCTGCCAGTTGTGAGTTACAGGGTGTAGCAGCTGGCGAAGTGCAGTCTCTTGTATAAACCTAGAAAAGGATCCTCTCCATTTACATAGTCAGTGGCTCCAGCAAGACTGCACACACCCTCAGGACTCTTAACATCTGCCAGGAATACAGAGATTACGCAGTTATTTTTCATGTCAATGCAGAGTGTAATCAGGTGGAACTTAAATTTGATGAAGGCTATTAAAATGAATCCTGTGGGAGTTAAAGGACTGATGGTCTTTGGGAGTTTTTAATGGTGATGTCCAGTCAACTCCTCCAAGAGCCATCAAAACTGTCCTAGAGAAGCCTGCAGGTTGTTCTCTCTCTCCACATGTTTTCACATTCTTCCTAAACAAAGCCTGACCCTCCTTTTCTGCAGAACCCAAGGCCACTCTGGATAAAATGCAGCAATTACAACAAAAAACAGATTTGAATGAGCTCTGACAGTTTAATAAGATGGTGTCTAAGGGACGAGTAAAAACATCACCTCTAATTAGAAAATTTACTTTACATATTCCTTCTTTGATTTACTATAACAGTTGAATTTTAACTTAAAAGGGAAAACAAAAAAAAAACAATTACTGTGTTATGTACTTGGACACTTAAAAACCTGACACAGCAGGAATGGTGTATTGCTCAGCCTGCCTGTCTAATCCGCAGATTTTAGATTGTACTGGATTGCACAACAGAAGGCTTCAAAGGTCCATTTAAGTCCCAAGTAAAGGAGAAGTGGGGCTAGCTGCAGGGTATGAGTTCAGTTCATGGTGTTGGGCTCTGTGTCCAACTGGCTGGTCCTCCAGCATCCCAGCATGCAAAGCTCAGAGCGAATGATGTGAGGTGCTGCCCTTCAAGTGTTCCCAGTTATTGTAGAGAGCGTAGAGTCCCGTCAGCGCCAGCCCCATCAAACCTCCTCGTGCTGCCCCCCGGAGCCCACCTGCGCAACACAAGAGCACAGAAAAGGTTACAAATGAGAGGAAGACATTTGGATTCTATCTCAAGTTCTATTTTGGCCTTCTGAATTGATCTCTTACAGCTTATAGCAACTATAAGTATTAAGCTGCTCTGGAAGGGATCACACAAGGACTTTTACAACATAAATAAGTAATTTGGTTCAAACACCCACAGCTCTTTGTGTAAAGTCTATTTACTGTCCTCTCACAAGTTCATATAGTTTCAGAATGAGCTAAAATCAGAAATGAGAAATTAGAACTAAATCAGCATGAAAGATACAACCATTCTTCCCCTTTTAAAACCAAGTTGTAATATTGCCAATTACTGCCTATTTATTCAATGAAATACATATGAATATCTTTTGAGCTCTTCGTAGCTAGTGGAACACATGTATGCTTGAAAGCTGTTTTGTCAGAAATGAAGCTGCAGATTTCAGGTGGATGAAACAAGTGCTCCTCAGATGAGTCTTTTCGCCATAGAGTCAGGCAGAAAGTTAATCTACCTCTAAAAACATGCAAGTGACTTGTACAATATCTGCAGACATGTTGATCCTAAGACGCAGACGTAATTGCAAGTATATCTGTAGGTTTGAGCTGACTTCCAGACCAAGGGTGGCAAGAGGACTGGATTGATAATGTTTCTGATAATGCTGCTGCTCCAGCTCACACCCACAACCAGGCTGCCACTGATAATCCTCACAGGGCGAAGCTGTCTCCGCACTTCAGGTGACACACCCTGACATCAAAAAAGGGGTCACAGTGCTCTGCTCTGCAGACACACAGCTGACATCTGTTCTGTGTCGAGAAGTACGTCAGTCCAGAGTCTGAAATAGACTTTTCACTGCTGCCAGCCTGTGAAGATGGCAGTGTTGCATGCCAAGGACATAGGCAAGGCGACTTTCTGAAATTAAAAAGGCTGTTGAGCAATAGCCTACAGTATAGCCCCACCATCCACAATCAGAACCAGGATGCTATCTTAATTGGAGAAATTATTTTTTCCCCACCAGCACGAATTGACCCCTTGCACATATTCAGAAGCCCGAAAACCATCTCTACTCCAGAAGCAGGACTGGCTTCAGTTGAGGTTGCAGAGAGGGAAATGTTACACAGTCTCCAACTGCACAAGGATAGAGAGCTGCTGATTACTCTGTCCAGTTCAGCTGAGTCAGTTCACGGACCAGTGGTTCCTGTCATACTGCCCAGTAAAAGTAACCCAGAAGGAGAATGAAATGGGTAGAAACAAAGGCGGCTGTTCAACCTTCATGGATTATTGCTTGAAAACCGTGTGCTTGGGACAAATAAAACATGTTTTTTTTACATAACCACAAAAACATTACTTCATATAAAGCAAGTTAAAAACACAAAAAAAGACCCTGCCTTACCCTGTACTGTACTGGGAAGGAGTCGTTCCCACATGTGATAATTGAGGAGCTTGTGAAAGAGTTTTATTGTTCAAGACAAGGTGTTGCTTGTTCCTCAAGACCAGCTGATGCTGTTATGTCTCTTCTTTTCCTCATTGTCTGACTTAAGCTCCCAATGCAAGGAGAGCTGGAATGTGCCTAGTAAAGACATTAAGCTCAGCTCTGATTAAGCCCCATTCTCTCCCTCTGCAGCACTAAAGCTCCTAATTGACACCTACAGCACAGCACCTCCAACAGAGCAACAAGCCCCAGCGAAGTGTTGATACAAACCCCACCAGATGATCTTATTTGGTTCAACAGCATTTAATTTAAAAAAAGGCAAGGTTGTATTTACAATTACTGTGCTTTGTATTTCCACTAGTCTGCAATTAAAGCAATCAGAACAAGAGGGGGCATGTAATGAATTGCAGACTGCTCCACTGTTCCTATTCCAGTTTCGTAACAGGGTCCTACAGCTCGCAAATGTGGACAAATGTCAATCGCCTATAAAATTGTTCTGTGCAAGAACAGGTGTCAAAGGGGCAGTGTTTTCTCTGCGTGGTTTTCTTTTTGTGAAGCACTCTGCAGTGCAAACTTTCAGGAAACCCTTGCCACGTTAAGGCATATCTTACTTTTGATTGTTTAATCGGGTTCAGGTTACCCGCGAAACACACGAAATTGAAGTGTGAATCTAATCGCATGCAGTAAGGCCCTAGAGCGCTAAAGCAAGCCCAGTTTTTCCTTCAAGCTTAAACAATTCTGAAAAGGCGGATTTCAACATTTTCAAAAGTATCATATGCCTTAACGTGACTTTTAAACCCAGCATACCCATTTCATGTTATTATTTCATCAAAAATCTTCAGTGGAATGCCAGAATATTTATCATAGAACAAATAATAATGGGTCTCCTGATAAAGGCATTCAGTGCTTTCTGCAATAAAACACTGGTGTGGCTGACATTTAAAAGCCCATGAGGAAATATTCTCTGTCAGTTTAGATAAACAATTCATTAGTGTTTGATGTACGAGCTAGAGTTTTGTTTTCCAAATCGAAAAGCGTGTTCGTGGACTCTGGAGCAGTGGGCCAGATGTTGCTGGTGTGAGCCGATGTGCGTCACATCACCAGCCTGCGGGAGCTGTCAGGGTGGGGAGGCCTTGAACTGATTAGGATACCCACAGGAATGGTGACAAATGAGAGGAGGCCCTTTGGCCCATCCAGCACATTTGATAGGAGCCAATGATGAAAAGATCACATTCAACTGTTTGTTTAATAAGCCAGGATATCGGTGTCAACAACACACAGGTTGTTCCATACTCTCATGATCATCTGAGTAAAGAAGTGCCTCCTGTTCTTGGTTTTAAATGCTCTTCCGCATAGTTTCCATTTTCTGCAGATGTCTACTGCATTGACTCTGTCAGTCCCTTTAAAGACTTTAACACTTGTATCAAGCCCCATCATAGATTTTTCTGATCAAGACTAGAAATGTACATAATATTTTAAATGAGACCTTATTAGTGCATTATATAACCACCAATATACAGGAAAATCTAACCGTTGTGCAACGGAGTCTTCTCGGTGTAAATGAGGAAGATCAGAAGCCACACCTAACTGTTTCCTGTGACTTTATTCCTCCTTATTTAACAGTAACATTACCTGTTATTTGCATCTCTGCCTGAGACTTGTAACATAGGAAGAGAAAAAGACGTACAAAATGACTTGAATGGGATTTAAAGGATATTTACACATCACTGCTTTAATGAAATGCCTACTTGACTACTGTACCCTGACTAAAGCCTTTCGAAGAAAATATGTCCTGACTAAAAACTGAAATGAAAATCGAAGGAACGTTATCTGGAAGTGGGACTTCCCTTTTACTGTACATGAGGTTTCAGAATTTTGACATTTATTCTTACCATTATAACTTCCCTCTCATGCCAAAGAGGCCTGTGGATTACCACCAGTGATATACTGACCAAAATAGAGCTGTTTCACACAAAAACACTACCGATCGCCTGAGTTTTACTTTTGATATTGTTTCAGTTGGTGATTTCCTGAACTGAACACTGGGAGTGCCTCTAGTAAGAGACCTTGTGATACAATATGTAATATCAAGGGGCTCTGTGCTTTTCATGACTTAAGCCCACCAGCCTCAAGACATCGACAGTCAATACAGACTCACATTAAGCCACCTAATGGTTATCACTGAATAATAATTCCACAGCTTTTCACTCAGCCTTCCCCTTTCTACTGTGAGCTACAAGCCTTATTTTTACACACCTGTCAACATCTACTATATAATAGGACTAAAAATGGACTTTTTTGTGTTTCTCAGATACCATGACAATGTTTACAGACAATTGTGGCAACTGTGCTGTTCAACCCTAGGGGCAGTGTTATAGATCTCATCCACTTTTGACTTTCCCTCCACTTACTTTATAGCTCTTGAATCACTCCTTACCCAGTCTACCAGTCCTCATTAGGCTATTTTACCGATACCAGCAACTAACAAGACAATGGCAATTGCACCCTTAAGTCAGGAAGTTGTTTTATAATAGGACGTTTAAAAAACTTTCTTTGTGTGGAGCTATAGTAGTTTGTGTGGAGTTACAAGCCCAGAATCTTGTTACAAACCTTCAGTGACATTATACTATATTCATTGATTGCACAATGGTAAGCACTGTATGAGTCTTGTCAGGTAAGTAATGGATCAGCTGACATCTGCAAACATAGCTATCAAGTTCAATACTGTATACTGTAATTCAATACTGTAAAATCTGCAAACGTAGTCATCTTTACAATCTCTGGACTCATCGGAAACTGTGGCAGATCCACTGCAACACTATATCAGCTCCTGCATGCTCTGTTTGTGCCGATCAGCAGGAAATGTTACCATTTTAAGGCTTCCCACTGAAAAAACTGCTCCCTACCAATTCACTATGTTTATTAAAAAATTCACCTTGTCTAGTTTTTCTAAGGTAATACCAGCAGGAGGAAATGCCTCAGTTAAGGCATCAAACAACATCTGTCATAATGGCACCCATATATATATATACACATTTCACAGGTGAGCATTGTGGGTATTGAGCAGTAAGTCAACACATGGTGCTTGAATATTAAATTACATAATAAGCTACTTTCTTTAAAATATCTGTAAAGGTTTGTGATCATGGTAAGTCAATTAGTGCCTGATGTATATTAAAAAGACGATGTAAAGATATCAGATTAAGGGTGTGAAGGATCTAAGTACAGAGTAAAGGACTTCCCCACATAGCACAGCTGAAACAACGTTCAAGTCACAAAAATCCCTGCAGAAAACCAGCTGGGTTCACTGCACAGTGCAGTCCTTTCAGTTTTCAGTAAGTGGTTACCTGAGGGTATTTTCCAACTATTCAATGCGAGCTGACTGTTTTGTTTCACACCACAAGAGCCTTTATTGCCAGCGAGAAGAGTCACATGCTGGAAAAGCTTCCCAGCTTGACTTCCTCTTCCAAAAGCACCTGACAACACATGGGCCAGTTTAGAGGAACAGAAATAAAAAATTCCTCAATGCAATGATAAGTTGGGGCAGCACTTTTAAAATGCTTAATCTTCACAACTACATTATGAATAATATATATTTTATAATCATTTTAAAACCAGAGGCACCAGAGGGTCATTCAGCTTTCCATTCCATCTGAGTCCTCAGATACTTTTATGTTACACCTTTTTATATATAGTTCCTATTATTTCATACAAAAAGAAAACTTTAATACTTCTATGCAAACCTGAACTACTGTGCACTGACTTACCTGTATCTTTTACAAACTCCACACCAACTAAATGTGTATATTATTGCGTTTTTAATTTGTGCATGACAGCAGATTATTACAATCTAATTGGTCACATCTCCATCTGCAGTTGTTAGCTAACCATGTACCTATGCATAGTTATTTTACAGGCTTTTTAAAAAAAAAGCTTCTACCATGGTCATGTTATACACTGCACACTGCTATTGCTTATTTAATAACATGCTGCTGGTTCTGCAATGTCTTTGAGGGAATTTAGCACCTCCTGGAGAAGCGACGCCTATGTCACTGGCAGCTCACAAGCTCAGCAGACTCTAGATATGAATGTGTTGTCACAAGCTTAAGACACCTTAATTAATTCAAGGGCTTGACACCTCCTAACTGAGTGCACACAGCCAGATAGGGGAATCCTGATCACAGCAGGCTGGTGATGTGATCCACATCTCCTCACACCAGCAACATCTGGTCCACTGGGTTCAACAACAGCTGACTTGCTCAGCCACTCCAGAGTCCACGAACATACTTACAGATTTCAAAAACAGAAATCTCTAACTCGCACATCAAGCGCTAGTGAATTATTAAACTAAACTGACAGAGAATATTTCCTCATGGACCTTTAAATGTCAACCACACCAATGTTTTATTGTAGAAAGTATTGGATGCTTTCATCAGGGGAGATGTTATTATTCATTCGGTGATAAATATTCTGGCATTCTGCTGACAATTATAGATGAAGTAATAACACAAAATGGCCTTGCTGAGTTTAAAGGTCATGTTAAAGCATATCTTACAATTTTTAACAGAAACAGCTTTCAGAATTGCTTGAGTTGGAAGGAAAAACAGCACATGCTTAAGCTCTCCAGGAGCTGCTTGCGATTTGATTCTTACTTCAGTTTTGCTTCTTTCACAAGTAATCTGCCACCGAATGTGTACAAAGGTTGCACTTCGAGAATTTATTTTTACAAAAAAAAGATCATGCAGTCAAACATGGCTTCTTTAAAAACTGATCCTTAAGTCTATTATACTGAAATATGAATAGGTATAGTTTTGCATTCTGTGATGACTGGCTGACAGCACTCAAGATAATTATTAACACAATATTATACACCTCAGTTTCCCAAACATTCCAAGTCACAAAGTTGAGCGTTAACTTGAGATAGATAAGGCTTTGCATTGCATTAAAACCCAAGGATCCCACAATGAACCTTTGGGAAAAGGGATTATTAAAACTAAACAGAATCAAAAGGTATAGAAGCTCATTATGTTTTGCACACCTGCTGGTATGTGCATGTGTAAATCTGAGGTCCGTTCTCTACAAAGCTGTGCATCTGTAATCCAGGAGTGTACAGAAAAACCGTCTGACAGAGAACAAGATTAAAGTACTATTACTTTATAAAGGCTTCCTGGTCTCTTTTATTGTGTTGTTCACAGCACATGACCTGCCAGGGGTGTTTTGCTGCAGCAATACAAAATTTAAAGTGTAGAAGTGAGCAACTGCCTTGCCAATTTTAGGAAGGTGAATTTGAAAGATTGAAATGGCCCTCAGACAGTGCAGACTGGTTTGCTCGACAGTGGAAAAAAAGAGCTGCTTCAGATCACGTGGTGCTTTCTGAGCGCACGCGCTGCTCTCTCTCTCACCTGTGGATTTGTACAGCATGCCCGTCAAGGTCCCGGCTCCTAAGGTGTTGAGGTCATCCTCAGCCCCCCGGGTCTTCTCGATGACTACTCCAAAGACACTGTAGAGCAGCGCTGAGAGAACACACCACTTAGATCAGTCCACAACATCCACGCCTGCCCTGCTGTCACCAACCCCCTCCACAACACAAGGAAGCCACTCCAAAGCTGCACTTCAATTTCAAACTTTAGGTGAGCAGATCCAAATCCTTTCAGATACTGTAGAGTATAGGGCTAGCTACTTAACTACGAACGTTGTGAGTTTTCGTATGGGTGTAATATGAATGTGGCAAAACAAGCACAAAATGTCTTGGAGCTTGGCACTGTACAATATGCAGTGCTTAAACACAGACAGTTGATATGCCAAAGGCTCAGAAATACTGTGTGGAAAACAGGATAATTCCACTTTTGGGGTGGCAGCTTTAAAGTTGCAGCTTCTAAAATAACTTAACAATGTTGCTCAGCTATGCTTTCACAACTTAAAAGGCTTCAGAGTGGGTTGCCCTGAGTGAGAATAGAGAGAATCAGCCTGCAGTTTAGCAGCTCGAAGACGCAAAATGTTTCAATTCCTGCAAAATCCCATAAAAACATAATTATGACTGTTATTCCCCTTTGTTTATTTTCACCAATGCGTTTTAATCATGGCATTGGCATGCAAGTCTCTGTTTTTGAAGTGTCGACAGTGAAACATGTAACCAGGAGCTGCCGCTCATAACAGGAGTGTTATACCACTGCGTATCCAGTAGCGTACAGGAGACCCTTGTCTGACAGTGAAGGAGATAGTCCACTGCAGACAAGATTAAAGTGCTTTTACTATAAGAAGGCTACCTGGTCCCTTTTATTGTGTTGTTCACAGTACATTGCATGCAAGGGGAGTACCAATAAGAGAAGTGTCTGGGCTGTTACTGAGACACCTGCTGCCCTGTGAGCTCTCTAACCCCATACAGCCAGTGGCTGTGAAGCAGGTACAGTGTGCTGTGTGCCAGAACACAGACGAAGGGGCACTAGATGGCTGTTAGGAGGCAAAAGTTAAAAGAAGTTGCAACTCACCAAGAGAGCCCAGTGTGTTTGCCCATGTTGCCCCCTGGCGGGTCACCAGGTTCAAGATCCTGAACACAGACAAGTAATATGATCAGCACAAATAAAACAGGGCAGACTTTGCTCTCCAAACACCATGAAGACACTGAGTGTTTGTAAGCAGACTGACCCTGACCCCAAACAACAGCTGTGTTTGAACACATGCAGGTGTGTCCACATCAGAGCAGCGCAGGGGTCAGCAGGAGGCAGAAAAAGACAACACGTAAGAGTGCAGGTGCATGAAAGATAAAGGCCCCCAAAAAATGACCATGGCATCACAACACCAGCAACAGATCTGATAACAGTCTCTGTTGTAATTCAAAAATCCACCACAGGATTTATTTTTTCAATTTGGTTAGAACTTTGAATACTCCAATGGGATAACTAAGGAAATTCAAGTTTACGATTAACAGTCCAAATTGCTGTGAATAAAAGGATTTTATGGAAAGAAATTACCACAATCCAAATTATAACAGAGACATGATAAGAGCCCTGTGCCTTACAGAGAGCCACATTCCCTTTAGGTCTGGGGTCTCACTCTTGGTTCCTGGAGGACCTGGTATCTTCTGCTTTTTATTCTAACCTGAGCAGTCAATTAATCAAGTCATGTAATCATTTCCTAAGTGAGACATTACAAAATTACAGTTATGTTCCATAAGACACATTACAAATTATTACACAAGACATTCACTTAATGAGATGTTCATTTATCTGTAAGCTTTCCTGTACTTTGGCACCTGATTAGAAGTATTAGAGTTATGCTCATAACTAAATAATTAAAGTAACTGAGAATATTGGTGGAATAATGGACATGGACCCTAGGCCATTCAGGAACTGAATCTGAGACCCTTGCTTTACATTGTTACTGAAATGGTCATGTAGGCACAGAAATGATCAAAACAAAGATCCAGAGCTGCAGATCCCCTGCACCAGCAAAGCACTGGGTACTTTTATGAACTTTGATGAGTACTTTAATATTTTTATAATGCACAGATTAAAATAAATACAAGTGCAAACTCTTGTGTAGGGATAAACCTTTTTATATGTCATAACTCAACTGAGAACATTCTCTCGTTTATGATGAAAAAGCTCAACAGTGAGTGCTGGAATTGCAAAATTAGAAGCCGAGCCTTAAAAAAAGGACAGAAATATTTACTTTTCTGCATTACCAAACTGCTTAGCCCTGTTTTCTTCAAGAGTCTGAAGGTCAGAAAAGTTTATCTGGATCAAAGTGCTATGTAGTAAAGGGAGTCTTTATTTACAGACTCAGTATGTCACGAGTTCTTTCCGAACAGCCAATGAGTCCAGGCAAGCTTAAATACAGCACCCCCTGGTGATGAGAACCACAAATCAAACAAAAGACAAAGCCCGCTTGGGCTGTCCAAAAATAAGGATCATACTGTCAAGCAGTTGCAACACTGTAGCTTGGACTGCCCAGTCCAGCCCCAGCTGGATAGGAATACTCACTGCACATTGCGGGGTTTGGACCAGGTCATGTCTCGAGTCTCCTTCAGACCCAGGCGAAGCCCATTCACAGCTCCAAATGCTGCGCCTGAAGTACAGAGAAAAAAACCAGTTTTCACTACTACACTATTTTTAGATAAAAACCTTAACCTTACAAAAGAGGATCAACTTTTCATTAAATTTTTTTTGCAAAAACACATAAGCATTGGTCTGTGTATTTCAAGCAGTATTAAGCATTGTTATCCATTACAGTAAACCCCCAGTTTGATTATTCGGATTTAGCAGACAAAATATGCTAAAGGGGAATTTTTTCGGCGGAATCAAAAACATCAGACTTTCTCTGGAATAACAAAGTATAAGGAAATTGGTAAAGGGGTTGGCAAAATGCTTTAGATGGGTGATAGTTGTGGCTTGTATACTTTAGCTATTTTGTATGATATCTTTATGACATATGAAATACAGAGCTTGAATATTTATAAAAAAGGCACTGGAACATTTTTTCTTGACGGTATTGACTTTAATTGTTCAAAAACATTAACCCAGAAAGCTCATATATAATATATATTTTTAATATAATAGGGCTGAAAAAACCTCATTTGTGATTTAATGGGCTATAGCAGACAACCCTTCCTCCCAATGAATCTGTTTAACCAAGGGTTTACTGTAAAGGCAAAATATACTTTAAACTTTTACATTTGCAGTAAAATAATGTATAATGCTAACATGAACTACTACATAAACACCTTGCCATCTCTGTCCTGCTTTGTAATGCTTGAGAAGGAAAGGTAGAATCAAATGATCTTGGAAGTCATTTTGTAACAGTCAAAACTAAGAAACGGAGACCTATTAATGGAAAAAATAAATAAAACGACCATTAGCCCGTGGTTACAGAAAAAAATGGCCACTCAGGGGACAACTCTGTCATGCTCAGCTGCAGCTCTGAGAAAGAGCGCTTGAGGCTGCACCAAGCAGAGAGTCCAGAGCTCACCAGTTATGCAGCAGCCTCCGATGGTGAAGAAGGCCAGTTCGAAGCGCCCGCGGGTCTTGTTGGCACCAGTGGGCAAGATGAACTCTTCACTGTCCTGCAAGACACGACACACCACTGTGGAGACACACTCCAAACCTCATCACACTAACAGCGTTTGCTCACAGGACACAGAACCCTACCTGTCAGAGAGCATCAGCATCTCAAAGCGTTCTATTTTTTTTTATTTTCTGACCTCTTGCACACTGCCACAAGTCAATTACAATGAAATGCACATGTGCCTTGGATGTGGTCTCTGCTCATGCACAAAACATTATTTCTATGCATATCCAGCATCGACTGAGGAGAAGTGCCGTCTCCCTCTTTAACTCTCTTTCAATGCCCAGCTTTACTCAATTCTTAACTCCGACCACTAATTCAGTGTCTAATGTGATCATCTAGGTGAAATGTGACCATACCGATTACTAACATGATTCTGAGTGCCTACACCTTTTTCTAAAAAGAATCACAAGCCAATCTTTCAAATACTAGTTACAAAAAAAACATTAGAACATAGGTGTACAACTCCAGTCCTCAAAGGCCAGAATCCAGCATGTTTTCCAGGTCTCTTTAATTAATCTTAGATCAGTCGGATGTTATTACAGTGCCTATAATTACTCTAACTTGATAGCAGGCTGCAAAATACTTTGAAGAGTGTTCAACTGGCCCAGTTACGCTGACAATTAGCTCAATAAGGTAATTAAGAGTAGAGGTGGAAATGAAAACCTCTGGACACTTTGACCCTCCAGGACTGGAATTAAGCAACACTGAACTAAGAGCACCAAGGCAATATGTATGCATTTTGAGGAATATATCCACTTTAGAACCATTCAATACATGGTCATGAAGGATCTAGACGCTATTCTGGCAAGCAGCAGGTGCAAGGTAGGGTACACTCTGGACAGGATGCCAGTCCATCGCAGGGCACACATATAGATACAGACACACAGACCTACTCACAGTAGGGCCAGATTCCCCAGAAGCTACTTACTTAACCTACTAGTATATCTGGACTGTGAGAGGAAACCGGAGCACCTGGAGGAAACCCACATGAACACAAAGCAAACATACAAACTCTACACGGATAGCACCCTGGAATCTGAACCCAGTGCCACAAGAAAACAGTACTAACCACTGCACCACTATGCTGCCTACTCAGGGGCTACACTACTCCAAAATCGTCTAAATAAATCAATGTACTTATGCACACACTCCCACTAGCCTCTCCATCACACCCTCCTAGCATCGATCTTAGTCATTAGCTAAAAGCTAAGCTGAAATATTGGTGTTCTAGCACTGAACTCACTATAACAGTACAGACAAGCTCACCTGCACCAGGTATCGTGGATCCACATTCAGGTAGGGTGAGAGGGGGCTCATTCCTGTCACTGTGAAGAGACAAGTGATCAGTCGGATGTTATTACAGTGCCTATAATTACTCTGACTTGATAAAGCCTTATATCCTAAGTCATAAGCAACAGTTAATATTGGGAAAGTACAGCACAAATACTGGTTCAGGACCAAGAGATCTGGACACATTCTATTTCCTAATGATGAGGTTTGCAGTCTAAAATACTCCTGTCAACAACATGACAAATGCTCAGACTAAATGGATATGCTTACATGTATTCCCTAAGATGTCTGAAAATCCTAATGAAGACAAATTCCATATAAGAGCAGCTTTATCACATTTGATCTTGATTATGTCAGATCTCAGAAGCTCAGCAAGGTTGAGCCTGGTCAGTACAGGCTGGGAGAGCTGTAAGGCAGAGCTGTCCAATCCTCGGCCCGGAGGACTGCAAGGACTGCTTACTGGCCTGGACCAGTTCAACCACAGGTCCTGCTGCTTTAAACAGACCTTAAACACCAGAAAGACAAGCTATTCAGGGCCAGGATAGAACAGCCCCACTTTAGGGGCTAAAACATTACAGTTTCTGCTATAAATAGTGTTGGCAGATCAGAAGGTGTAATTCTTTCTCCTTACATCACGACTTTGAAACATATGCTACAATATGGATATCACAGAACTGCTTAATGAAGTACTACCTTTTGAAAGAGACATTAACCTGAGATTCTGATGTGTCCATTAAAGTTCTCATGGCACAGTTGATAAAAGTATGTGTGTTCTGTCTGGTGTCCTGAGCAAATTACACAATCCTACCTAAGGTCTAAACCCAGCAGCTATATCACCCTGCAACTCACAACTGACAACCCACTGAAGCTCAGCAGGTGTACGCCTGGCCAGTACCTGGATGGGAGAGCTCCTGGGAAAGCTAATGTTGCTGCTGGAAGAGGTGTTAGTGAGGCCAGTAGGGGGCGCTCACCCTGTGGTCTATGTGGGTCCTACTGCCCTAGTATAGTGAGGGGGACACCATACTGTAAAAAAGCCACCATCCTTTGGATGAATAATAAAACTGGGCCCTTACTCTCCATGGACATTAAAAATCCCAGTGCATTTCTTGAAAGAAGTAGGGGTGTTCCCCTGGCCTTTATCAATCATGGCCTCCTAATAGCTGGCTTTATCCCTCTGTTCTTCCAATGATAGCTGATGTGTGGGGAGCATACTGGCATACTTTAGCTGCCGTTGCATCATCCAGGTGGGAGATACACACTGGTGGTGATGGAGGAGAGACCTCATCGCCTGTAAAATGTTTTGAGTGGTGTGTCCAGAAAAGTGCTATATAAGCGCAAGACTTACTATTAACCAAGGTTACAACTTAAAACCTTAAAAGTGACACCTGACAAACCTTACATGACATCTAGGAGGTGTTGTACGTCAGCGGTGGTGGTTAAGTCTGGGTCCCCTTCTATAGATAAAGCACTTAGGGATATATTGTAATAGACTGTGCCATCTACACACACAGGGAATTATTAATTAGTTATACGATCGTGAACATTTCTTAATAGATGGTCACATCACGAGGATGATCCGTAATAATCCTATCGCTAACAGCAACAGCCGATATACTCACAAGGCACCCCGGCGAGCTCTGTGTTTGAATACTCGGGGGCTCCCCCGCCGAACAGACCCCCGAGCCCGACTTTCGAGCCGCCAGCTCCCGGCGCGCTGTTATCCATGGTGCTCTGGTGACAGGCAGAGAGAGGAGGAGAGGAAATCAAAGGTAAGCGTCACTCGACTGTGATACTATCACTCTAGCAGTATGTATGTCCTTTTCCCCACAACCTCCTGGGAATCAGGGGTAGTGTAAAAAACTTCTAACCTCTGATCATTTCCTTAAAAACGGAAACACATCACCGACGTGATCTGTGTTACGAAATTATCAATAGCTTTCCTTACTGTTTTATAAATGAAGATCCAATATTGCCTTCCTGTCTCCCTTGTCTCTGACCTACAGCGCACACTGCCGTAAAGCAACACAGTCAAAACGTCATCAAACCGCGCCACCGCTGATGAGAAAATAGATGTGTGCCAATGCGTAAATTATCTAGTCTTACAATATATAAGTACACTGCTTGATCTGGTCATAATATCTAGAAGAATGGTCAAAATCTTGTGAAATTTACAAGAAACATTGACACAACCGTTTATTAAAAAGTTGTTTCCAGTACAACTTAAGCCGTGTTGATTTGTTCTGTATGTATATACCCCTGTTTGTTGTATTATCCCTTTTTGTAATAAAAAATAAAAATATATATTTTTTAAAAAGTAGGCCTTTAGGATATTAACGACACTTTTGGAATTTCACGACGGCGTGTGTGAGTGGGGTCGCGGTTTTGTTACGCAAACTGTGGCAGATGTGACCAGGAGTGTGTACTTCCAGAATGGCTCCGTGACGTCAATAGGAAATAATAATAATAATAATAATAATAATAATAATAAATTAATACTTATTTATTACAGGTCAGATTATCTGAAAAGTTGCTTTGAGAGAGTGTGTATGTAAATTCAACACGTTTTATTATTCATCTGCCAATACCGTTTGAAATCTGTTTATGGACACAATATAAAACTAAAAATGTGATCATCTTTGCATCTGAATGAAAGTGTATGCATATATATATATATTTTTTCGTATTAAACTAACAGAATCAGAGAGAACTACTGCTTTGGATGCTCAACTATCTTTTTTCAATGTATTTTTAGAATTTAAAAAATTATCTTTTGTAAATCTATTTTAATCTCTTTATGGAAATAAATTATGAACGAGAAGGAGAAATGAGGGACAAATGGAAAAAGCAGCTTGTAAACAGCAATCCTAATAAATGATGGGCATTATAAACCTGCCACTCAGATGGGTTAAGACTGTGCTTCAATGCACTAATTCCACCCCCCTTTGCTTTTTCGTAGTTTTTCATACATGGCCAGCAGCCATATCACCCTGCAACTCACAACTGCAGCCCTCTGAAGCTCAGCAGGTGTGATCCTGGTCAGTACCTGGATGGTTGACCACTTGGGAAAGCTAAGGTTGCTGCTAGAAACCAGAAAAGCACTATATAAGTGTAAGCAATTATTATTATTATTATTTTGTCCCCTGTACATCAGAAGCTACTTGCCACCACCAGGAAACATCTTACCTAAAAGACAGCTAGGTGTTTCTGACCAGCTTAGATCAGTCAGAAGCACCACAGTTGTAATTTATTGCATTATGTCGAAACAACAAGTGACATGCAAGGTATAACAGAATCCACAGCTAGAGTACGGTGATGATGGTGACAAGGTACTTTAAGTGGACTCTGTATTGTTTTTTGTGGTTCCATAAGAACATACCTGAATTTAATTACCAGAAAGGTCTTGTTCATTCAGACCCCCATGTCCTTTCATCAGCCCAGACGAAACCATCATGCAAAGTGATGTTGACTGCAATTAGCAAACTGAAGAGAATTCTCTTGATTATAGTGAAGCTTAGAGAATGGGCTCACTTTCTGTCTCAGTGAAGACAGAAAATCTTGTGGCCTCTGAGCATAGCCAGAAAAGGAAAGCATATCCAAAGTATGCTCATAAACTGGTGACTTGCTATATTTTATTGGACTGCACCACTTCCCTGTTCTCCAACACATGCATTTTAGCAACACAAATTTCTTGATAAAATGTTGGTAGAACCTTTTACTGGGCAAGATCTAGTTAGAGAGAGTAAGAGGGGCAGGGCTCCTGGTGAGGTGGACTCACAAGGTCCAGAGGGATCGGGCGCACAGGCCTGAGACTGAGGAGAATGCCGCTGGAGGCAGGCCAAGGTCCTCCGATATCTCTCCATCTTCCCTTCTGGCTCTACCGTAGAATTGAGGAGTCTTTAAGCATTAATTCCAGGTGTCTTGCTCTGGATCCAACGCCGTTATCTTTTTCGGTTGGCGCTGAACCCATAAATTCCAGAATTCTGTCCTTACCACTTTACCACTGACTTATAGTTTGGGTCAGGGGGGCTGGTGAAAACATCGATATATCACTGGACTGTGGCATGCCTCCCAAGACATGTCCCAGGAAATAAATGAAGATGTGTGTTTCACCGTTATCAAACATTGCATTCATTTTCAAACTTATGACTCAGCATGCGGATCAGGGACACTGTGCTGTAGGAGGCGGCTGTCCTTTAGATGAGATGTTATACTGAGGTCCTGAGTACTTGATCATTAAAGAAACAATTGTACTGTTTAAAAGAGTAAAGGTGTTAAAATCCCGGTGTCCTAGCTCATATCCATTTTCTACAGTGTAGCCTCCCTAATGATCTCCTTTAATTCAAACTTTCTTACTACTCCACATGACCTACTGTGAAGTGGTGCTGTTTGTGCATAATGGCTACACAGCCTCACTCTGGTGGGTGCCCAGCTACAGTGATGGATGAAGTGGGTACAAGATTCTCAGGGTCCTTTAGAATTAAAATTTGAATAGAGATGGTTTTTTTTTTCTGGCAGTTTATATGACATCAAAGCACAGAAGGGAATTGTTATTGAAATCAAAATTCACAAGGAAGTTGTGTTATTAAGAAGATTTTTATTACATTTCTTATTCATACATCTATTAATAACAAAACACGTTGCTGTAACTCCTCCAGTTACAATAGTAAAAATAGAAAAAAAATGTAGAGAAAATACCTGTAGCACAAATCCATTGTACTGGAATCTGTAACATTGATTATGGATTAATTGTTGTATTGGCACTGGCCATTAATATCATTAATGTCTGTTGGATGCAACCAGAATCGGCTGCTGTTTCGGTGATATGTTAAAGCCAGGCACTGCACTACCCTGTGTTGTCCAGTCTATGTTGCTGTATGAAGTGTTTTCTTCAGCTGGGATCTGCAGGATGAGAAAATAGGTAGCTCAGCCTGATGACAACAGTAGAGGGAGCCATTGATCTGCATTAGAGAGGAGTGTAACCTGTAATTGTGAGCAAAAAATGACAGACAGAAGATGGACCGATGACAGAGGTGTGTAAGGGCTTCGTTGGAAGATATGGACAAGTGATTACATTGGTATAGAGAGAATAGAGTTAACTTAGTGTTTTATTTCTAATACTGTACATGTGGTACAAATGGTCATTTGATAGGAGTTTTAAGTCTAGTGATAATGTGTTGTGACCCATCCCCTAAATGAAACTTTTGTCAAATTTTGTCAATTACAAAAACACACAGAAATTGGAAAAACTGGATAGCTGAGAAAGGGTTTGGATTTCAGTCTTCAGTGTTACAGCCTGCTTCCCTTCAGTTTCCCACGGTTGCTAAAGTGCTGCAGAGAGAGCAGTTTCCTCACCCTTGCTGTCCAGAATGTCGATGACAGGACCTGCAGTATCCAGCAGGGAGCTCCACTCTGGATCCTCAATGGCATCGAGGAGAATGGACACCTCTGCCTCCAGCTTTCCTACTGCATCTTCCACACGCTGAGATGGACACAGGCCATACAAAATAGAGAGCACTGTGAGCAGAAATCTTTCCTTTTGCTATCTTAGACCTGGAATGTGACACTTTGGTGACTTAAGGGAAGACGAATTAAACTAATCAAAACAGGGGTAAGACAGACATATTTTCAGTTACTAGTAACCTGTATCCTTTGAAAAAATATTAAGCAAAGGCGGTGTAACGAGAATGTTATCTTGTGTGGTGTGGCAGTGCTAGAGTCCAGAATGCCGAAGCTCAGGATGAAGGTGTTCAGCCTGTTACCTGCTCCACTGCGTTCAGCTTGTGGTGGAGGGTACGGTGTTCGTGACAGGCACTGACATGGGAGGCTCTGGGCAACAGGCCAGGCCCAGGTCCTGTTGACAAAGCAGAGGGTGGCCGTCAAGATCAATCAGCTTCAATATGAAAATTAGCAGGTCACGAAGGGAAGGCGCAAAAACAAAATGCCACAAGTCATTTGTCTTACAGTGGAAGTCAAATAACGTCCCGTGGTTTGTCTCTTGTGTTTTTTCTAAATGTACTGTAGGTGCCAGACTGGCTCACGAGGTGGATTAAAAATCTGACTCAAACCATCATTCTTATTACAGGCCAGTTCTCGATATACAAGAACTATACATGCACTCCTGAGCAAAACAAAGCTCCTATAGGAATACAGTAAACTGGGAAGTTTGCATGTGAAGGTGGGTGAGAGTCTTGGTCCATTCCCAACCACAGACTTGACATCGTAAATTAATATTAAAAATAAGTATATAGTTGTACTAAGTGTCATTTTTTAACTGTTTCAGTTCATGAAAAACGTGAAGGCAGGACTGTTGTTAGTGGTGTGTGGTGAGAGGTGTGGAAAATGCTTGAAAAATGTGCCCATTAGGCATACAAGCATTGTGAGATGAGCAGTGCCTGGAAGAACAGTCATAAAAAGATTTTCCAGCTGTCTGTGTATCAACCAGTATATCCTATTCATCCCTTCATGTGTGCCTGTACTGGCTCCGACACTCTGACATGTTGCATGTTAACAGTGAGAACTTGAAGCATTCTAAATTAAGAAATGGTATATTTAAGTGCCACAGAAGCACAAATTAAAAGCATAGAAATTAAGAACTAATCTGATAAAGGGTTTATCTGTCTAAACCTGGAGCTCAATCCATAGAACTATGAGATTCTTCTTACATTGTGGGATAAAAGACGTCTCAGATTATCTTTGCTGAATTAAAATTCCAAACAGCCCTGAAAAGAGTCAAAACAAAAGGAGACTGTTCTGGCCATTCATTGGGTGCAGTTAATTGAATCAAGGATATAATGTAGCAAAGACTTAATAATAATAATAATAATAATTGCTTACACTTATATAGCGCTTTTCTGGACACTCCACTCAAAGCGCTTTACAAGTAATGGGGACTCCCCTCCACCACCACCAATGTGCAGCATCCACCTGGATGATGCGACGGCAGCCATAGTGCGCCAGAACGCTCACCACAAATCAGCTATCAGCTATCAGTATACTTAAGATATCACTGGGTATTTAAGAACACTGATGTTATTGTACTCCA